AGAATTGTGAAGGATCTGAAGTGCTTGAGCTCAGCTTCCGTTAGCTGGAGGTAGGATGTCATCTTGTCTTCCTTCGCCTGATATTCCCCAGTAATTTGATGGACCACTAGCTGCAAGTCATTGTAAATCTTAATAGATTCCGCCCCCATTTCTTTGGCGAGGCAGATCATTGTGAGCAACGCCTCGTACTCAGCCTCGTTGTTGGAGGCGACAAACCCGAATCTTACTGTGGCTCTGATCGGGTTTTCCTCTGGACTTTTGAGCAAAAGCCCCACTCCTGTCCCTTTCTCATTCAAGGAGTCATCTACATACAGAGTCCATTGCCATAAGTCGTTGAGTTTCGACTTCTGTTGTCTGATTTCTCCCAAGGTGTCAGCCATTGGCGGGCTTAATTCATCTTCTGGCTGGTAGGAGAATTCGGATATAAAATCTGCTACAGCTTGACCTTTGATTGTTGTTCTCGAAATGTACTTGATATTGTGCTAGCTCATCTCTATTGTCCATTGGATCAATCTACCCGATGTCTCGGGCTTGTGCATTATTTTCTTTAATGGGAAATTTGTTAGCATGTGGATGGAGTGCGCCTGGAAATAGGGTCACAGCTTCCTAGCAGCAATGACAAGGGCGAATGCGAGCTTCTCCATCTCTAGGTACCTCATCTCTGCATCGAGCAATCTCTTGCTTACATAGTGTACTAGCCACTATACTCTTCCCTTTTCGCGTACCAACGCCGCACTGACAGCAGAATTTGATACTGATAAATATAGCAGCAACGGTCACCCTAGATGGGCTTTGACAGTAGGAGAGGCTGCCCTGGATGTTTCTTCAGCTCCTGGAAGGCTTTTTCACACTACTCTGTCTATTTGAAACATTTCTTCCCCTTAAAGGTCTCAAAGAATGGCAAACACCTATCTGTGGCTAGGGAAACGAATCTGCTGAGTGCGGCCACACGCCTTGTCAAGCTCTACACCTGTCTTATCCTGGTCGGGTTTTTCATGTCGAGCAAAGCTTGAATCTTCTCTTGGTTGGCTTTACACGCCGTTGGTTTACGGGGAAGCCCAAAAATTTCCCCGAGCTCACCCTGAAAACACATTTTAAAGGATTAAGTTTTATTCGGTACCTTCTGAAGATGTCGAACATTTCCCTAAGGTGCTCAACATGGCTTTCGATAATCTTTGATTTGACAAGCATGTCGTCGATGTATACCTCCATGGTATGGCCAATTTGGTCGGCGAACATCTTGTTCACCAAACGCTGGTAAGTTGCCCCAACGTTCTTGAGGCCAAATGGCATAACACTGTAACAATAAATTCTACGATTAGTAATAAAAGAAGTATGTTCTTCATCGGGATTTGGTTATATCCTGAGTACGCATCCATGAAGCTGAGTAATGAGTGTTCTACTGTCGCATCTACTAGTTGGTCGATCCGTGGTAGCTGAAAGCTGTCTTTGGGACAGGCTTTGTTCAGATTCGTGAAGTCGACGCAAGTCTGCCACTTGCCATTCGACTTCTTGACCAGGATTGGGTTGGCGAGCTAGTCCAAGTAATTGACTTCTCTGATGAAGTTGACTTTTAGGAGTTTGTCAACCTCATCCTTGAGCACTTGTAAGCGCTCCGCATCCATGACCCTTCTTTTCTACCTTATGGGCTGAGCTTGAGGGTCGAGGTTAAACCTGTGGCACATTACCTCGGGGCTGATCCCAACCATATCCGTGTGCACCCACGCGAACACGTCGAGGTTCTTCTTCAAGAACCCCACCAGATTATTGGCCATTTCTCTGGTCAAACTACTGCCAATTTTTAGCATGCGAGTTGGATCTTCCTCGTTGACACTTATTTCTCGCAGCTTTTTGGTCGACTCTATTGCGGGCTCTTCTCTATGGATGCGAGGATCTATGGTATCCTCGAGTGGTCCGAGGTTAGGCTTGGATTCTGCTATGACCATTGTTCTCAGGAGCGGCCATTTTTGTGCTATATGTATGGCCCGATTGTAACATTCTAAGGAATCTCAGAAATGTTACAACCGTAAGCATAATCCGGATGGATTTAATCATGGCAACCGACGAAAAGGTTTCCTCATAGTTTGTTCTTTGTCTTTTTGGAACCTGTTGCGGTCCCTATCGTTGCAGTCTTGGCCTCCATGCTTATCCGATGGGCGATCTTGTAGCCTATCCGGGGCTCCTCGCATCGAGCTTCCGGCCAGTGCTGCCAGGGAGCTTTCTCCCCTCTGGTGTTTTGTAACCATGTGATAAAACTGGGCCAGACTTACGTGATCTTCACTTTGGAGCTCTTTTTATAGCTCCATGTTCGGTTTGATCCCAATAATTAGCAAAGTTTGGATGGACTCCTCGGGGGCATCCGCAATCTTTGCTTGCTCATTCTGGAACCTCCTTAAGTACAAGGTCAGTGTTTCGTCTCTCTCCTGACGAATGTTACTCAAATAGCTGAGCAGCATCGCGAACTGCCTCCTCGCTTGAAATTGTTGTAAGTACAGTGAGGTGAATCGTTGCCAAGAGTTGATGGAGTTCACCTTGAGCCTTTTATACCACCTCTTGGCATCCCCTACCAATGTGATTGCAAAGCATCAACATTTCACCAAGTCACAGACCTAGTGTAGCTCCATCAGGTTGTTGAAATTGTCGAGGTGGTCTCTAGGGTCCCCTTTCCCATCAAACTTGCTCTCTAACACCCTGAATCCTTATGGAAGTGGGGCCTAACAAACTTCCTCTATAAAGGGGAAACTTACTATTTCCTCCACCATGCCATTCTGGCGGGCTCTCAGATCATCGAGCATTTTCTGCATGCGATCTAAGTCTTCATTGTGGTTGCCCTGGTGGTCTTTGTTCAACCTCACTTCAAGCAAATGGGTTCGCAAATCTGTCATTTGCGAGGTCCCTCAAGTGTTCGCGTTGATGCGCGAGGTCAAGTCATGATTAAAGGTGGAAAAATAGGCACGGCAATGGGGCGGGGCAGGGCAGGGATCTCATTCACCGTACCCATCCCCACCCTCAAAATCATTCCCCACCCCCGCCCCATCCCCGTTACGGGGATGACAGGAATTCCCCTTCCCCGCCCCAAAGGGGAATGTTGAAGGCCCATCCCTGCCCCCTTAATTTTATATAAACATAAATTAATTTGAGCATTACCAAACACAATAGTTAATTCTCGTTCACATGACAAACATTTAAATTAATCATTTAAACATAATTAATTATACATAAATATGGGTTAGGGTTTGTTCTTGTTCAATTGTTTAGGATGAGGGAAATTAGGAAAATATGGGTTTATATAGATAGGATAATTGTGTAATTAGGTGAAATATAAGGGTATTAGTGAAAAATAAATATATATTATATACGGGGCGGGCCGGGGGAAAGGCATCACCCACCCTCGCCCCATCCTCGAGGACGGGGATTAAAACACCCCCCACACCCGCCCCTATCCCCAAAAAAACCAGGGCTTCCCCGCCCCAGTTCTGATCATCTCCACAGCTGGCTGTTCTCAAGGTTTGACGTCCCTGCTCCCTTGTGGTTTATGACGTGTTGAGTTGGCGACACAGGTGATCGGCGTCCAACGGCATCCTGTTGCACTTCGTGGTGGGTGGTTTCCATATTTTCAAGGTTTCCGGTGGTGGTCTTTGATCTGGTGTGCACCATTGTGGGCTTGGATTGGGTTGGTTGCTATGATTGTTTGCCAAAATATCTGAGATGTTGCCGAGGTTCGGCCCTCCTTCTAGTGCCAAAATGTTGGTATAGAGATCTGCACCAACTAGAGTGATCCGATCGACCTTGGCGAGATTGGAACCGATATGTGCGTGATTACGGGTAATCAGCGATTAAAAATAACGAATGCAATAATGTAAATAACAAAGAGATTTTTAAAGTGGTTCAGCGAGATAGACTCTTGAGCCTACGTCCATTGTGTTTGTATTTACTGTGAGAGCTTACAATTAGAGTTATATGAAATTTTGTAACCCCTTTTTCATCGTTGCAAGGGGTTTATATACAAGATTTGTAGAAAGGAAATGGCGAAAATAAAGGGATTACAATTGATTTGAAATGCAATTCTGATATTCTCGCAATTGGGCGTTGTGATTGCGCAAAGATTGTTGTTGATCCAATCTTTCCCACAATATCTGGGATCTGAAGTTATCTAGGAATTGACTCAGTGATTATTCGGGTTGTTAGCGACTAGCTTGTGCTAGGTCGAGCTGAATGTCGACGAGCTTATGCTGGGTCAGACAACCGGTGAGGTCGAGCTGATACCAGGTCAAGCTATATCCTCGCAATATCCAGAACTTGGTGGAAAAATCACACACAACACAAATATTTCTCGATTAATTACAAACGTCCACTACAAGTACTACTGTCGATTTCATTCTTTCCACCACCAAATAGGGCGTAATTTGTTCAATGTTAATCCACCAAAGTCAATTAAATAAAAAATTTCCAAAAACGGTTGAAAATTAAAAAAAAAAAAAAGGAACTAAGAAATTTTTTTTTTTTTAAATGGTGGAAAAGGGAGTTTATATATAGGGGCATTTTCGGTAAAATGCCATTTGGTGGTTACATGTGTATTGGACTTAGGATTTTGGTCAATATCGTATAGCCCCCCTGGAGTTTTGGTTATTTTTTAAAAAACCTTATTATCATCATCTTAGAATTTCTATAGTCATACTCTTATTTTCCTCAAATATTGAAATACGTGGAAATATCCAAAAGAAGGTTCACGAAGTAGCATTAAGCATTGAGCCGGCATTGCCTACCTACATGCCTAACCCCCAATCCCAATTAATTAATTTAATTAATAGATTACCTCTTTAATTATCCCAAACGGCCATACTCAATCAATATTTATTCGTTAATAAAATAAAAATAACAATATGTGTTGATAAACACGAAGGACGGAGGTGACGGAGGTTTGAATTTGATTGAGAAACTTCATTCGAAGTTATCGCAACGTGACATGACATCACGTAACCATAACCCGTATAAGTTTATATGGTAACACCTGGTGCCGTTATTAACCTATTGTCATCGTCCTATATTTTCTCCATTCTCTGACCCTCTGTTACTTCACTACTCTTCTTTCATTCATTTAATAACCATCCTTTTTCATACTTCTCTTCCTCCTCCTCAAACCCTAAAACCCCGCATGGATCCCAATCCCAAAAACTTCCCTGTTCTCTCCTACGTCATGGCCCGTCTTCCCACCTTCGGACCTAGAACCACCTCGGCCACCGCCGCCGAATACGACATCGAACAACCCGATCCATCCTCTTCGGGTCAATCAGAGATAATTGTTGATCGAATGCCTCATTTGTCTGACCCCAAGCTCATCTCCTCCATGAGGCACGCCATTCATGACGTCTACCAGACCCGATCCGTTCTCCAGGCTCTCGGGCCGCGCCCTGACCACGAGACAGTCGACAACGCAAAAGCTAGACTCTCTGAAATAGAAAGCAGTCTGTCGAAATCTCTGGAGGAAATCGTGCTTATGCCTCGCCCTGCTGAGGTGGACCGTTTCGAGTGGCGGGCGCACTTGGCGGAGAAAGAGAAGGAATGTAGAGAAAAGGCAGAGAAGGAGAAAAGCGTGTACAAATCGATTTTACAAGTGGATGAGATGCACGAGGCCTATGAGAAGATGTTGAAGGAGGCGGAGGCGCTGTTGGTTAAGATTTATGAGAAAGCGGAAAATGCGGATGGCAGTGAGGTCTTACCTGTAAGTGAAGAAGTCAATGAGGAAGTTGTGGGAGTGCTTCAAGAAGCTTCTGGAAAGCCCTTGGAAAGAGTCGATTTGTCTTCCAGACGCCTCAGGTTCTTGCCCGAAGCTTTTGGAAGGATATCAGGATTGAAAGTCTTAAATTTGTCTAATAATCAGCTTGAGGTAACATTTATTTCATTTTTTTGTCCTTATTTACCTGTCTTTAATTGAATTTAATTTGTTTACAATAATGTGAAAAGTGTGGAAAATTATAATTATAAAAGGCTTACTTGGTTCCATTTTATTGAAATTTAAAATTTGTAACTTGTTAGAATCATTTTCAGTGCTGTTTTTTCCATTACATATCAGGTTATCCCTGACTCAATAGCTGGATTAACGAATTTGGAAGAACTTTATTTGGGTTCAAATCTTTTAGAGTCCCTACCTGACTCCATTGGGTTGTTGTATAATTTGAAAATCCTTGATGTTTCTGGAAACAAACTGTGTGCTTTACCAGATTCCATCTGTCAATGCAGGTAAGTTTATTGCTCGTTTGTTGAAATTTGTCTTTTCTGTTGTTCTTTTTAGACTTTTAAATTCGTTTGGAATGATTCAGGTCATTGGTGGAGCTCGATGCTGGCTTCAACCGCCTATCATACTTGCCAACTAATATTGGATTTGAATTAGTGAATCTACAGAAGCTTTCAATTCCTTTGAATAAGATTCGTTCGCTTCCAACGTCAATTGGCGAGATGAGGTCTCTGCGGTATCTGGATGCTCACTTCAATGAGCTCCATGGCCTCCCACTATCAATTGGGAAATTGACAAATCTTGAGATCTTAAATCTGAGCAAAAATTTCAATGACCTGACTGAACTTCCGGAAACCTTTGGTGATTTGATAAACCTGAAGGAACTTGATCTTAGTAACAACCAGATTCATGCTCTTCCTGATACATTTGGCCGACTTGACAATTTGACAAAACTCGACCTGGATGAGAATCCTCTCGTAATCCCACCAATGGAGGTTGTGAAGCAAGGAGTTGAAGCTGTCAAAGATTTTATGGCCAAGAGGTGGCTTCAACTACTAGTGGAGGAGGAAAGGAAAAGCATGATGCAAGTAAGCGAAGAGGGACAGACAGGATGGTTGACCCGCAGCACCTCGTGGTTGAAAACTTATGTTTCTGGTGTTAGTGAAACTGTCTCAGAATATTTAGGAACTGGGAGTCCTAGGGACCCTTGCCTTGATCAACAGTTTTGACTCCATGCTCCAAGAATATCTTGAGTATCCAAATTCCTGATGTTGTGGGACACTTTGGGATTTGTCGCTGTTAATATAGTTGCTCTTTCTTATTCTAACTTGATCAATTAGAGCAGGGCATAAAGTGATGAATCTCCAACAATTTTGCTGCTTGGGAATTTTTAATAGTAGGGGTGTCTGGTAAGTTATTTATTACTATGTTTTTATTTTAGTGAAATGCCTTTAACTGTACATTAAAGAAACTGGAATTTGAAATTTTTATACCAGTCCTTTTCGTGTGATATATCGAAATAAGGGAGATCATTGGATTGTCTTATAATGAAAATACTCACTTGCGATTTGCGAATTCCTATTACTCAATTGTTTTGACGATGACATTGACATTGTCACTATCCACGACCAGAAGTGGAAAAGTAACCATATGAAGAAAGAAGGTTATCCTTCCCAGTTCTACCTTACAATTTTTAGGGAGCAGTAAACAATGGTTTTTGGTCTTTAGAAAGCAGTAAACAATGACCTTTGATCTCCTACATTTAGTGTTATAATGGTTTTGTTAATATGGTAAGGTAGATGTCACTTGTCAGGGTGTTTACTGTTTAGTGGCTGAAGCTTTTTGGCTATCACAAAAGTAGTGAATCAAATCATAGCATAAGGTATTTGGAAATGTTTGAAGTAGTTGAAAAGGAGGAGTGTTATGAGTTCAACCCTGTAAATTTACGAAAGATGAAATGATTTTATGGATGATTGGTTGCTCGTTTTTGTAGTTTGGATCATGTTTATTGCTCGTTTTTGTAGTGATTATTGGGTTTCGGGGGCTGGTATATATAGCTTATGGATTTTGCCCTTTCTTATTTTGGACGCTGGGACGAAGCGTCGTCCGTGAACCATTTCAAAAGTGATATAACATATTTTCTGTAATCTGTTTTGTTTAAGGTTTTCGAAAGTAATTTTGGAATAGTTAATTACAAATGCTGAATTATGATAGGAAGAACCAATGTTTTGAAACCCAACCCGGGGTGAAACCCGGCAAAGTTTCCGGGTCTCGGGTTGACCGGTTTAACCGGGCGATTGACAAAAACTCTTAAATTTATGCAAATACGCCCCTAAAAATAACATTTAAGTCCCATGTGTTTGAACTTTATCAAACACACCCCAAATGCAAATCAACTGGTGACTGATTGGCGGCGGCGACACCCTAGATGTAACCCCAATCGTCCCTTGAGTTGATTTCCATTAAAATCTACCCAAGATCTGGTCGAAATAGGTTTGATTTCAGTTAGATCTCATCGACATTGGCGTCGGTATTCCAAGCCAGATCTCATCCACGCCGGCGTTAACAACCCTCGCCATCACCCAGGAAACACTCCCCTATTTCTCCCAACCAAAACCCACCTCACCCCACCCCCGTTAGCCTCACCAATCGTTGGCAAAATCTCATTGTTGTTGCTGCCAGATTTATTCGATTTCCAGTTGATTTACTCACCGGAAATCAACGCCGTCACCACCATTATATTCACCGGCACTTAGTCTTCAAAAGCTCCAACTTTTTGGCCGTCGATTGTTCGCCAATCATTCTCCCAAATCTTAGGGTTTTGGGGTGAATCGGAAAAGTTAAACCCGGTCTATTGAAGCTTCTGGGTCCCGGTTGAACCGGTTCAATCGACCGGGCTTGTCGGGTTTTAAAACACTGGGAAGAACCATTGGATTCAAAATTCTACTTGAATCCAAATGGTGATACAACTAGAGGTGCTTACAACTACATGTTGATAAAGTATGAGGACTGTGCTATTGTTAGTCAAGATTTTCGTTTTCCTCGTATGTCCTGAGTTAACACCTCTTGATTTAGTGGATTATGAAAGAATTGGGTAATTATATACATATAAGTAAGGATTATATGGACAAAATTATAATAATTAAGTATATTGAATATTAAAAGTATGAGGGGTGCAGTTGAAAATAATAGGATGTCATTATCCGACGTGCATAATTTCCAATGTTATTTTATTATTATAATTTTGTCCATACTTTAAATAATTGACAATTGGGACATTGTAGGCCATGCAATTCGTTTAAAGTCTAAAGCTAACCATTTTATGATAAATATTATTTTTTAACAAATTAATATGACATATCATCTCTTTTAATTTTATTTTGTAATCATCTTAAAATACATAGTTTATATGGTTGAATTTTATTTTTTTAAATTATACGTAAAAGTATTATTGAATTAAAATTATTTAAAATAAGATTTTCATTAAGAATGAGCAAAATTTCAACGTATAAATGTTCACCTTAAAACAAATTTTCTTGGTATATCAGAGCCATAACCATAGGAAGATCCATTGGATTCATCGTTCTATGTGTTTCCATCTTGTTCTAGATCTTTTAATAAACTTGAGGAGTCTTTCATGCTATTACCCGAGTTCTATCACGGTTACACAAATCAAGACTGATGAGGACAATCATCAAGAACTTCTTCATGTCTTTGGGTTGTTCCATCAGAGCATACAGGACTCATATTTGTACTGTTATTTGTGCGGATGATGCCTTTCTGAAGGGGGTATCTAGGAACATTATTTTTTACAGTCGCCAAAGACTATAATAATCAAATATATTCGAGGGCTTTCGACCTCGGTGATAAGGAGGAAAATGCCTTCTGGATTTGGTTCATGAACAGAATACTAGGAAAGATTCATTCAGGTTTTCCAGTTCGCGTGGATCACCACTCGAATTGGAAAATCTACTCTAGGTGTCGAAAACGCCTTTTTTGGTAACAAACCAACCAATCCCAAGTTCTTAACCTTAAAAATTCAATATTTCATCATCCAAAACAATAACCACAACATATACAACCATAAAAACAACAATGTACACAATATCAACACGACTATTAACATTTAAATTGGAAAAACCCTAAACCCTAACATTTAACATAAACCCTAAAATTTTTATAATAAACCCTTGCAATTCATACTAAATCGACAAAAAAATGAGTCAAGAAACTGACTTTTTACCCATCTCGAATTGTTGATACAGAAATCTACACCAACTAGAGTGATCCGATCAACCTTGGCGGGATCGGAACCGATATATGCGTGATTACGGGTAATCAGCGATGAAAAATAACGAATGCAATAATATAAATAACAAAGAAATTTTTAAAGTGGTTCGGCAAGATAAACTTTTGAGCCTACGTCCACTGTGTTTGTATTTGCTGTGAAAGCTTACAATTAGAGTTATATAAAAATTTTGTAACCCCTTTTTCATCTTTGTAGGGGGTTTATATACAAGATTTGTAGAAAGGAAAGAGCAAAAATAAAAGGATTATAATTGATTCGAAATGCAATTCCGATATTCTTGCGATTGGGCACTGTGATTGCACAGAGATTGTTGTTGATCCAGTCTTCCCCACAATATCTAGGGTCTGAAGTTATCTAGGAATTGATTGAATGATCATTCAGGTTGTTCGCGACTAGCTTGTGTTGGGTCGAGCTGAATATCGATGAGCTTATTCTGGGTCGGACAACAGGTGAAGTTGAGCTGATATCAGGTCGAGCTATATCCTCGCGATATCCCGAGCTTGGTGGAAAAATCACACACAACATCTGCGCCCTAGTGTTCGAAGCTCGTTTTGAGCTTCGAAAACTATTGCCCGATTTGATGCCAAGCTCGGAATGATAACTAGTCCTCGGATGTGGGTTTTGTTGAGCTCATAGGGTTGAGCTCATGTCCGATCAACATGCTTCACACTTGTTTACTTCCAATGATACCTGCCAAACTCAAAATATCAAAACTTAGGGCAAACATGTAATTTCAATACGGTCATGTCACATTAAATACGGCAACCTTTGTCAGTCACGTTTCATCGCGCGTGGGAGACTACAGCTGTCCACGCGTGAAGTTGAGGTGACGTGCGATGACGATTATCAGTGTAACAGTCTAACTGTTCGTTGCCCCTAGCAGATGGTCGACACGTGGCCACGCCTAAAGGCTGAAATTGTTTGACGAATAAAGGGTCGAGATTCACTGCAACTCGATGGCTGCGATCAAACCCTGCCCTTTCATCTCCCAAGCAAGCTATTACAAAAGGTGGCAAAGTCGTTAGAATTCTCATTCAGTCCACGAAATTTTTTTGGCGCTCTTGTGCATTCTGCTACTATTTTATCGTTATCACGACACTCTTTCCGGTGATCTTCTATGCTTCTCTCACTCTGATAAGTTTTTTTTCCCTTTCTTTGTCTGCTTTTCTGGTTTTCACGTCAAAGGGTGGTCACTGTAGTGGCCACATTGTGCCTCTTAGGGTTTTAGTAGGTTTTCGGGTGCATCTCCGGCGGTCTTAGGTTTAAGGAGGGTTTAACACGGTGGCCACGGGGACCCTGAGTAGGTCGTGCACTTTCGTAGTGTGGCGCAAGCTATCTTGGGTGCCCTAGAAGCAAGTGTGAATTGGTCGCCGAATCTTTCGAGTTTTGACAAATGTTCACTTCTTTTTCAAGTACCTAGAAGCGAGCTATTACCATGTCTTCTTCCAGCAGTCACACAATCGATTACATGTTTGATTCACCCACGGGCTTGACTAGCCTTAGGGATTCAACCAGTGAGGTTTCCGAGGAGATCGTCATGCGAAGCTTAGACCCCAAAGCGGTAAGCTCTTTTGATCGCGCTTCGATGCAGTTGGGTTAGCCCACGTAGTCTCCAGTCCATAGGTTGCTAAGAGAGCCACAATCCTTGATTAAAGTCGGGGATCTAGAGTGCATAAGAGTGGTCTATGCGCCGTAGCTTAATTTGATGGTTCCGAGGCATATTCTCGTAAGAACCCCTCGCCCGGATGGGCGGCAACCTCTGAGACCTTCTTGAGATGCGGGATATCCATTCCCCCTCATCATTTTATTGATAACGTGTTGAAGCAGTTCGACATCGTTTCTCTCCAACTGTCCGCAAATTCATACGTCATTCTCATCGGTCTGTACATCACGTATATGATCGTAGAATTGGGTGACTCATCTGTTGAAGAGCTTGTCCATCTGTATAGGCTCAACAAAGGGCAAGACCAGACGTACTGCCTTTCCAAGAAGAGAAAGGTACGTTTCAACGGGCTGGTCGATGTCTCAAAGAAGGTCTCACACTGGGACTCTCAGTTTTTCTTCTATGAAGCTCAAGAGACAGGCACTTTTGCTTCAAACGCGAGTAAGACTTTGATTCCCCGCGTGCGCAAGGGTTGCTTTTGAGCTTTGTATCCGAGCTAACTAAGTTGCTTTTTTTTTTT